GTGTGTCTGTCTGTGTGTGTGTCTGTCTGTCTGTCTGTGTGTGTGTGTGTGTGTGTGTCTGTCTGTGTGTGTGTCTGTGTGTGTGTGTGTGTCTGTCTGTCTGTCTATGTGTCTGTGTCTGTGTCTGTGTCTGTGTGTGTGTGTGTGTGTGTGTGTGTCTGTCTCTGTGTCTGTCTGTGTGTGTGTGTGTGTGTCTGTCTGTCTGTCTGTCTGTCTGTCTGTGTGTGTCTGCCTGTGTGTGTCTGTCTGTGTGTCTGTCTGTGTGTGTGTCTGTCTGTCTGTCTGTCTGTCTGTCTGTGTGTGTCTGCCTGTGTGTGTCTGTCTGTGTGTCTGTCTGTGTGTGTGTCTGTCTGTCTGTCTGTCTGTCTGTCTGTGTGTGTCTGCCTGTGTGTGTCTGTCTGTGTGTCTGTCTGTGTGTGTGTCTGTCTGTCTGTCTGTCTGTCTGTCTGTGTGTGTCTGCCTGTGTGTGTCTGTCTGTGTGTCTGTCTGTGTGTGTGTCTGTCTGTCTGTCTGTCTGTCTGTCTGTGTGTGTCTGCCTGTGTGTGTCTGTCTGTGTGTCTGTCTGTGTGTGTGTCTGTCTGTCTGTCTGTCTGTCTGTCTGTGTGTGTCTGCCTGTGTGTGTCTGTCTGTGTGTCTGTCTGTGTGTGTGTCTGTCTGTCTGTCTGTCTGTCTGTCTGTGTGTGTCTGCCTGTGTGTGTCTGTCTGTGTGTCTGTCTGTGTGTGTGTCTGTCTGTCTGTCTGTCTGTCTGTCTGTGTGTGTCTGCCTGTGTGTGTCTGTCTGTGTGTCTGTCTGTGTGTGTGTCTGTCTGTCTGTCTGTCTGTCTGTCTGTGTGTGTCTGCCTGTGTGTGTCTGTCTGTGTGTCTGTCTGTGTGTGTGTCTGTCTGTCTGTCTGTCTGTCTGTCTGTGTGTGTCTGCCTGTGTGTGTCTGTCTGTGTGTCTGTCTGTGTGTGTGTCTGTCTGTCTGTCTGTCTGTCTGTCTGTGTGTGTCTGCCTGTGTGTGTCTGTCTGTGTGTCTGTCTGTGTGTGTGTCTGTCTGTCTGTCTGTCTGTCTGTCTGTGTGTGTCTGCCTGTGTGTGTCTGTCTGTGTGTCTGTCTGTGTGTGTGTCTGTCTGTCTGTCTGTCTGTCTGTCTGTGTGTGTCTGCCTGTGTGTGTCTGTCTGTGTGTCTGTCTGTGTGTGTGTCTGTCTGTCTGTCTGTCTGTCTGTCTGTGTGTGTCTGCCTGTGTGTGTCTGTCTGTGTGTCTGTCTGTGTGTGTGTCTGTCTGTCTGTCTGTCTGTCTGTCTGTGTGTGTCTGCCTGTGTGTGTCTGTCTGTGTGTCTGTCTGTGTGTGTGTCTGTCTGTCTGTCTGTCTGTGTGTCTGTGTGTGTGTGAGAGAGATGAAGAGTAACAGTAACCTTGCTCTGAAGGGATGTAGCCCTCATCATAGTCTTCCTCCAGCACCAGCTGATCTCCGATGCGCAGCCCCGTGGTCGTCATGGTGACGGCCTTCAATTAATCTCACTCAGTTACTTCAAATTAAAACTTCACAAACACACCACATCCAGCATATAACACGTACTTACAAATAAAACCCCCTGCGTATTAAACAAACATGAATAAATACACATAACGTCGACACGGGTCTGTTTGTGTTTACCTCAGATAAACGGTCGAATCGCTTTTCTCTGAGAATCATGAATATGTAAACGCAGATATCGATCATACCCGAAGCACTGCTGATATCCAGTGAAAACACAAGCCTGAACGAGTCGATTTAAAACAATATAAAAGCAAATCATCCGTAAAGACGAGCGCTGAATACGAAACACGATCACTCTTAATAATAACACCGTTTAATAATGACGGATTTAACGCGATTAGTTTAATCCTCACCTGCTCTCTGATCCCGCGCCTTCAGTTCTGCCGTGAACTTAAAAGCATTGTGTGATTGCACAGCTTTACTTCAGAGGATTTATTTTCAGTTTCAGAGGATTTTCTGAATTTAAAACGGAAAGTTTAACCGGAAGCGCCGCGTCTCCATCACAGCAACCGACCGGAACATGGCGGCCGCAGCAGCCGCGCTTCAGAATAAAAGTCCCGCATCACGATAGAAATATAATATAAATATACGACTGACACAAGGAAGGTATCTGGAAATGTCTAGGGAAGTAGTATGAACTTTAGTGGTTTTTATTTTTTTACAATATAATAAAATAATATTTAGGAACTCCCTTTTTATAGCATTGGTTTAAAACGACAAAAACAACACGTCTACAAGAGCGTCTTAAAAGATCCAACATAGTTTATTAATATGTGCTTTTGTTACACCGTACACAGCAATAAAAGTATTCACACTTGGCTTTACTATACGAGAAACACGTGAAAAAATGCTAAGCATATTAGGCAAGCCTTAATATAGAAAATAAATAAATATCAGTGTAAAAAAATAATAATAATATAAAACCCCAAGGCAAGCTGCTTTAAGAACAGAAGTTCATGAAATCACAGTAAACCAAACACTCTCACTGTGCTTCACATCAATCCAGACTTGACCAGCAAGGCGACACACACAAAAGATCCCAACTGAGACAGCAGGTTAATGTTATAAACACACTAACAGGTGTTTAATCACACTGCAGGCTGTCTGATCTCCAAACACATGACGTTTGGCCCCTTTGAGTTAAAGGGTCATATGATGTTGCTAAAAAGCACATTATGTTGTGTGTTTGGTGTAATGAAATGTGTTTATGCGGTTGAAGGTTCAAAAAACACATTATTTTCCACATACTGTACATTATTGTTTCTCCTCTATGCCCCGCCTTTCTGAAACGCTAGATTGTTACAAAGCTCATCGGTCTGAAAAGCGAGGTGTGCTGTGATTGGCCAGCTATCCAGTGCGTTGTGATTGGCTGAATACCTCAAGCGTGAGACGGAAATGTTACGCCCCTCACATACTGTGCTTCCCTGTCCGGCCGGAGCGACGAGACAAACACATTAAAACCCATTATAAACGAGGCATTCGTAGACCAAACAAAGTAGTTTCGCTTTCATAACGAAGCACACAGCGTCTTCACGACATGTCGGCGGCGGCAGCAACAATACTACAGCGAGAATAAAAGTTACGCCTTCTTTCTCTGCGTGAACATTTGGGCGGCGTTATGCAAATCTCCCCACATAGTGATGTAGACATGTGGGGGCGTGTTACAGATCTTCTTTATGCACCAAGAGCTTGTAACACTCCAAAGAGAAAGGAAACGTTGGAATCGCATCATATGACCCCTTTAAGATTCAATGCTGCATTTTCTGGAACGTCTTTGACATTTTCATAGAGTTTTACAAGCGTTTCTAACATTCTCGTCTCAGTTGTTTTCAAAGGGGTTCAGTAGTTGAGAAAGTTCAGATATTTGGTTTCTAAATAAAATAAACCACTAAAACATGCCTCGGGTGGAATCACAATGCGATACAGTGAAAAACAAAAGCAATGCAATGGAATGAATGAAAGAGTCAAATCAAATCACACACAGCTCTCACATTACACTAAACGAGACGCGTCAATGAGAATGAGATCTTCAGCCAAGATACGCTGGGCTAAAACTGTGGATTTGGTCTGTTCTACTCGTCTACAGGCTCAAGATTTGGTGCAATGATCCGCTCTTGAATGAAGCATTATGTGGCAGCGAGAATAAAAGTTACGCCTTCTTTCTTTGCGTGAACATTTGGGCGGCGTTATGCAAATCTTCCCACATAGTGATGTAGACATGTGGGGGCGTGTTACAGATCTTCTTTATGCACCAAGAGCTTGTAACACTCCAAAGAGAAAGGAAACGTTGGAATCGCATCATATGACCCCTTTAAGATTCAATGCTGCATTTTCTGGAACGTCTTTGACATTTTCATAGAGTTTTACAAGCGTTTCTAACATTCTCGTCTCAGTTGTTTTCAAAGGGGTTCAGTAGTTGAGAAAGTTCAGATATTTGGTTTCTAAATAAAATAAACCACTAAAACATGCCTCGGGTGGAATCACAATGCGATACAGTGAAAAACAAAAGCAATGCAATGGAATGAATGAAAGAGTCAAATCAAATCACACACAGCTCTCACATTACACTAAACGAGACGCGTCAATGAGAATGAGATCTTCAGCCAAGATACGCTGGGCTAAAACTGTGGATTTGGTCTGTTCTACTCGTCTACAGGCTCAAGATTTGGTGCAATGATCCGCTCTTGAATGAAGCATTATGTGGCAGAAGCATATCTGTCTCTGACGAGTGTGCTGTGATTAAACGAGCAGACATGCATGCTGAGCGTGAATCCAGAGTATACTGGGAGTATATCTTGGGAGTGAAGAGGAGTGCAGGGTCGATGGAGAAGATACTGAGACGCTCCGTTAGCAGCAGTTCTCCAGTGTACAGAAGAAACCCAACCTGCTGCATTAAAGAACAATAACTATAGCGATAACTATAACAGTAAGGACACAGAGGAGTTTGTGGAGTTCTTTTTCAGCTGATGAATGATAAAAACATTTACAGCCAATCAGAATCCACTTACTTTAAAGAGCTTGAGCTTTTAAAGAGACGGCACGCGCTTAGAATAAATGGAACATTAACGTGTGGACACTAACGTAGTTAGCGTTATAGCTATCGCTGTCGTTATATTTAACAATAGTCATGGTTATAGTCATCACTATACTTAACATGATATTTATCGTTATACTCAACATTTAGTCAATAATTATTGCAACAGTCAGCGTTATAGTCATCGGTATAATTGTCATTATAGTCAATGTTACAATCACTGTTACAGTCATCATCGCTGTCGTTATATTTAACAATAGTCATGGTTATAGTCATCACTATACTTAACATGATATTTATCGTTATACTCAACATTTAGTCAATAATTATTGCAACAGTCAGCGTTATAGTCATCGGTATAATTGTCATTATAGTCAATGTTACAATCACTGTTACAGTCATCGTTATATTGTTACAATCACTGTTACAGTCATAATTATATTGTTACAATCACTGTTACAGTCATCGTTATATTGTTACAATCACTGTTACAGTCATCATTATATTGTTACAATCACTGTTACAGTCATCATTATATTGTTACAATCACTGTTACAGTCATCGTTATATTGTTACAATCACTGTTACAGTCATCATTATATTGTTACAATCACTGTTACAGTCATCGTTATATTGTTACAATCACTGTTACAGTCATCATTATTTTAGTCAACATTACAATCAATGTCACAGTCGATGTTTTAATGTTAGTTAACGTTATATTGTTTTAGTCAATTTTATAGTCAACATTATTTATTTATTAAAGATTTAACGCCATATCAGCAGCAATGGCTATATTCATGGCAAAATCAACAGATTTATAATAATGACAATATCCTTTCAATTCATTGTTTACAATAATGTAACATTTTTATCTTAAAAACGTCCAACATACAAAAAAATATATACCATATACTTAATATAACAATTATGGCAACAGCAACAAAAAAATAGAATTTTTCAATTTAATGTGCAAAAAAAATTGATTTTTTTTTTTTAAATGTCCATTATTAAATTGTTTGAATAAAATGTTGCCTAATATCATATAAAAATGGACATTCAACAGTCAATGCTATATCGTTATAGTCATTGTTATAGTCATCATCGTTATAGTTATCGTTCTTGTTGTGAACGGGCCGTAACTCCCAAATGCAACACTCGTCTTGATAAAAATGATATTCTAAAATAAGAAAGGCTTGCCGATTCAGTGTTACTCAGTTAATTACTCCCTGTGACGAGCTAACAGCGTTTAAACCTCAAGATGAGGAGCGTCAGAAAGGCACTCACGTCTTCATATCAGGCGTCGTGGCACTTCCGGTCTAGTGCTGTCACACGATTAATCGCATCCAAAATAAAAGCTTTTGTTTACATAATATATGCATGTGTGTGTTCTGTGTATATTTATTATGTATATATAAATACACACAAACACAGCATACATTTTGAAAATATTTGCATGTATATACATTTATATTCTTATATTATATATATATATATATAAACATAACTTATTTTTCTTAAATATATAGATGCATATTTTTTTATATATATACACCTAACGTACACCGCACACACACATACAGTCAAACCGAAATGTATTCAGACGCCTTTAACATTTCTCACATTATATCAGTTTATTGGCTATATTTTAGAAAATGGTACTAAAATATGAGAAGAACAAATTCATCTTAATAACTTTGATAGAAAGGTATGTAATGAATTCTGTTGAATAGCTGTCAGCTGTTAAATTGAAGAACACAATTAGATAAAACCAGTTTAGCTCACCTAATTACCAAGCAGTGCTTCATTCTGTTCAGTCTGTGGTGTAAAAAGATCATATTAGCAATTAAAGAATAACACTTTTTAAGAATTTTTGGGTGTAATACGTCACAGTTGACTTTATTTAGCTATCTTCGCTTACATAAATGAACTACAGTGTCCTGCACCCACTAGTAAAAAAATATCAACAATGATATATCTGCTGTCTGAATAATTTTTGGCTTGACTGTATGTTATGTAAACAAAAACTTTGCATGCGATTAATCGTCTGACAGCACTACTCCGGTCTCGTTCCCGGTCACTCCCACCAGGTGTCCATTCTGCGAATGCGCACGCGCTGCTTGTAGTGGTACTCCTTCAGGTGCTCCTTCAGAGCGTTGGGCAGCGGCAGAGCGTTGATGCCGTCGTATGTGGTTCTGCTGCTGATGACGGCGCGGCAGATGCGCTGCAGGCTGAAGGGCTGCGAGCGGTGGATGGGGTTAGACAGCAGCGGCTCGAAGAACATGCTTATGGCAAAAGCAAAAAAAAAATAGAATTTTTCAATTTAATGTGCAAAAAAATTTTTTTTTTTTTTTTTTAAATGTCCATTATTAAATTGTTTGAATAAAATGTTGCCTAATATCATATAAAAATGGACATTCAACAGTCAATGCTATATCGTTATAGTCACTGTTATAGTCATCATCGTTATAGTTATCGTTCTTGTTGTGAACGGGCCGTAACTCCCAAATGCAAC